TTGAAATTTCCTTCCCTCACCCAGATACTTTGATTGCCTCCTTGTACCTTTTAAACTCCTGCTGTCCTTTAGATGAGCAACAGGGTCATTTCCTCAAGGACTCCTCCTGTGATTTTCTAGGTCCTTCTGCTATAACAGCCCTCTGTTTTTCCTTGATATTGTCATCTGCAGTAACTATTATATTTTTGTGTGATTATATGACAAATGTTCATTTTCTTAACTCATCTGCTAGCTGAATGAACATATAGTTCACTTCTAATTTGCTCATCATGTTGTTACCTGTAGTGGTTTTCACTGTACCTATCCTGTATTAGGTACACTGTTATTTGTGATAAGAATAAACAAATACAGAAAAAATCTCAGAACATAGTAATAAACAGATCTGTTATGTAAATTTTTGTATCTAGGCGTGATGGTAATTTAGCACAGTATACCACTCACTAAATAACTTACAATGGTAATAACGTAGCTTAGTTTCCCTAGGAAACAGACTCTAAGAGATAGGTGCATGCAAGAAGTTTTATTGGGAAGCATTGTTTGGATGAGGACAAGTGGGGCAGAGAAATGAAGGAAGATGCACAGAGGGAGAAATCCAACTCTACTACTCAACAAATGTCTTAATTGATCTCTTCAGGGACCTCTGAAGTTGGGATGGCTGCTCCAAGAAGTCTTGAGTTAAGGCACGAGTCAGGCCTTTATATCTTCATGGGAACTAGTTATTGGGTATATGTTACTGTAGGAAGAGGCATGAACCTTGGATAAATGGCTCCTTTTAAGCTAGAGGCAATTTCCCAAGAGGGACTCAGCAGAGAGCTGTAAATCTCCAATACCTGCAGGAGTTCAGGGAATGAGTGCCTGGGTCTTGAACAGGTAAGAGTCGGTGGGTGGAGTTGCAGGTCTGTGAGGTACATCATCACATTCACTACAGACAACCAAAAGGAACAATGGATAGTTTACAGCAAGGTTCTGTCTCAACTCCAGATACAAATGAACTTGAAATTATGAAAAAGTAAAATTCCAGCAAGAAAACAAAGAAACTGCATTCAATGCCAGCAGCTGTAATTATGGCAACTTCTAAAAGAAAGAAATAGCAAGGTTGAGGAAAAGGTTTATAAGATGTGAGGGAAATTCAGAGATTTCTCATTCCAGAGGATGTTCTCCCTCCAAAGTTAGATAATGCTATAAAACTCTCACTCACACTGCATTTTACCCCAATTGCTCATAGGCAATCATGTTCCAATTGTGTTTTTCTAGAATGTGAGCACTGGAGAATTGAATCTTTAAATTTTTAATATTTGACTTACATTATATGGCCCATTGCAATTTGCAGACTACTATCACATACATTTTGACACTTGACTCTCACAATAACCCCATTCAGTTAAACCACTTACTCAAAATCACTAAGTGGCAATATGTATTTTTGAACCAGTAGCAGCTAAAGGTAACAGAGACAAATGTCTTTATTGTCCACTGAGGTATCACTAATGCCTATCACTGTGCCTGAAACAATAGCACTCAAAAATAATTGTTGAGTACATTTCTATGAGGTATTTGTAGTTCTGTGCTATCTATGATTTTTGATACTTACATAATATACGCTTATAGGCAATCAAGTAATTATTCCCTGTTTATTCAATAAAATACAAACTAATATGTGCCTTATGGTCTTTTGGAGTAGGAATACTGGAAATATTTGCATCTAACTGATCTTTAGTCTTTATGGCCCAGATCATGATTACTTGGCCCTATAAAATCAGATGGAGGGAAAAATGCATCTCATAATCAATTGAAATCTCTGAATTTTTCTGGAGAAAATCAACTTCCAAAAAGTGTTCAAAAATAGGTGTCTAAAGCTAGGCTACAAAGAGAAAATTAAGGCATATGGAAAACTGAATTTTTATTGTGTTTCTAAATTTGGGATATTGAATAACTTTTCAGATGTGAAATTAAAGATGACTCATCAGCCTTACTTCTGACTATGGTGATAATAATAATATTCATTCATGTACTGTAAACTATTAAGTTGAGAGATGAGCTGTCTCACCGAAGCCTACAAAAAATTAATGTGGAACACCTGATATTTGACTGTGCTTCCAGATGGAGGGACAGCTTGACAAATGCCATCATAATTTACAACTTTTTAAAAGTGTGGTGTGAATGCATTTGCAGTAAGCGTTAAACAGCTTGGATTATTTACAGGTACAACTGCATTCAATGTGAAATTTCAATGGATTTAAATATTATTAAATTCAATCACTGATCACAGAGTATAGGTGTGGCATGTGAGTAATGTGATTAGATGCCTTAATTAAATATCTTAGAACAAGACACATCTGTTTGGTAAAGTTAGGGTATCATAAAATAGCATTTAAATTTTATATTTAGTTATTGGCTGTCATTCCTGAAGCTCTTACCTTGGTAAAGAGTATATTTTGGACTTACCCTTACCATTCTGTGGTACTTTAGGGAAATAATTACCACAGAAAGAAAATATGAAGACAGTGTCTAACTCATGGGATATCCTGGATTCCTATACTCATAAATCAATTATTGTTTATTACCCTGAAAGAGTACAGAAGTTCATATGCCTGAGAGTTAGAAACTCAACATGGAATTTTACCCATTAAACTGGAGAAGGAATAGTATATAATATAATCATATACATCATACATATATTATATGTTTGTCCAATACATTTATTATGTATACATATATAAAGGACATAAATATTCCTTTATCTCTGGATATATAATTATGTGCATATGTATATGTTTATCTGCATGTGTGTGTGTATCTCTAAAATATACAGATAACTTTGGAGGTAAGTAAGGTATGATTATAGGGAGATGCAAGAACATCTGACTTTGAAACATTACCGCCTGAAAAGGAAAGCAGTTAGTTTGACATATTTTAACCAGAAATTCATTGACAGATATTATGACTTCTCAGCAATAAGTGGAACACTAAGAAGAATACATGATGAAGTGAAACTAAGGTTTCTCAAATGAACTGCTTAGTGCATAACAAACTTCAGGGTCTATTCCATTTATTCAATCACTAAGTGTTCAAGTGTTCTTGGTCTTTTGTTTCAGTCCCAGGCTAAGAACTGAGTACCCAAATCAACATGGGCCCTCTTTTCCTGAAGTGTATACCCTAAATAGAAGACATATATTAAATAAGTCACATTCAAATAAATGTAAAACAAAATTTGGCAGGTCTATCATAAAAATATGGTATTAAACAATACAGAGAGGGTGGGTCTAATTTTTGCTGGTGGTAAGGGTGAGTCAGAGAAGCTTTCTTTGACATCTAAAACATGAGTGGACCAGAAGAATTTCAAGTGGAGGGCAATGACAAAGGGAGGGAAGTGGATGGAAGATGAGAAGATTATTCTGTGGTTGGAACATGAGTCAGGGCAAGAGTGGCCCTAGGGGAGGTTGGAGAGGAGGTAAGGACAGGTTGTCTAGAGGTCATTAGGAAGTTTGCATTATATTCTGACTATAATGCAGCATTGAAAGATTTATATCCTGTGTGGGGGGGAGATGGGGGAGGAAGAAAGAGGGAAGAGCCTATTAATGCTTTACTCTGGAGTAGAGAGCAGGTAAGAGATAAGACTGGAATACAGGTGGCTATGACCATGATGGATGATTGAAGATGGAGAAATGAAGAGTGATTCAAGATGTACTCAAGATGTTGACTCTTTAGAACTTGGGTAGGAATTTCATGAGGATGTGAGGTAATGGAGTCAAGGAGACCCCAAGGTTTCTATTTAACTTTGTCTACTTTCTCATAATGACAATTTTGATTCAAGGACAAGGTATTGGACCCCTAGTAAGTTGCTGGTTCTTGAAGGCATTAAGAGGGCTTGTTTAGAGAAACCTTCTCCAGTCACTAAAAAATTTATATTAAGTAATTTCTCTATTTCTGTTTTATCTGCCAAGCAGCATCACATTTGACTCTAGTGCTTACACTGAGTCTCATCTCAATAACAGTGATATCTTTACTTGAAGACTGTATCTGAGAACCTAACAGTGTTGGCACATTGAAGCTGCTCAATACATATGTACTGAGTGTATGGAAGGATGCATTAACTAATGAAAAAATAATAACAAAGGGGAAATACCTGACTCCATGGAGTCACAATCTACCTGGAAGATGGAGTGTCATAAACACCTAAATAGAGGTAAGTACAAAATGTGATGAGAGAAGAGGATGCATTCAGCTCAGAGAGAAAATGACAGAAGTTTGGAGCGCAGACATCCTCAAAGAAGCAGTGAATGTTTTCTGATTTGGGATGATTTCTAAGTGAAATCATTCCCCTCTTCCTATCCACCTCTATGACAAAACATAAAAACTCTTAAAAAGAGCTTTATATTTTAGAATAATGGTTTTTTAAAACAAACATGAATAGATTATTCTACAATAAGACACAACAAAAACAAAACAAAACAAAAATAAAACCCTCAGCCTTGATCATGTACACTAACAGCACTTAACTGCAAGTTGCTGTTGGCTGTAGCTACTGGTGCTTGCTTCTCTTCCCCAACCCCAGGGACTGTGCACTCTTGGAAGACAGTGCTTTCTGGTCCTCGATGGGGCCCAGAGTCCTGCCCGCCTATCTACTTGCTGAATTACATCTACTCTCTCATCCCTAGGAAGTTCCTGAAGATCCAGTTGCTTCTAAGACTACGTTTCTCCCGCTCGCGGGGTTCACGCGGGAGGTAACGAAAGGAACAATTTGTTACTTGTGTCCCTACAGCTTTTACCGTTAATCCTGGGGATCCCTCACTCCGGCCCCCGCCTACCCAGCTCAGCCTTCACTAGCTCCCAGAGCAAGGCTCCGGTCTGCGGCCCGCAGAAATCCAGCGGCCTGGCGGAGCGCGGGCCGGCGGGGCTCTGGGAGCGAGGGGGCTCGTGGGCTCCACAGGAAGCCGGAGCCGCGGGACCGAGCGCGCAGCCCCGCCCTGGGGGCGTCGCCGCCCGCGCCGGCCCCGCCCCGCCCCCGCGCCGCCGGCCCTGGCTTCCGACAGCTTTTCCACTCGGGTTCCCGCAAGCTGTCGTTTCGGTTTCTGGCTGGCGCTCGAGGACGCAGGGAGGGTCTGTGTGTAGGAGACTCCAGACTGTAGGCGCTGCCATGGCCCCTGTGCTTAGCAAGGACGCGCCGGACATCGAGGTACCGACCAGGCGCCGGCTCGCCCGGGGCGGGTGGGGGGCCGGCTGGTCTCAACCCAGGCCTCCGTGGGGCGCCGCGCCCGCGAGTGGGATACGCGGGAAACTTTGCCTCGGCTGGAGATCTGCGGGGGAGGCGGAGGATCGCGGAGCCAGGGCCCCGCGTTGGCAGGCGGGACAAGTGGAGGACTTTCCGTGACCGCAGGGTGTGCCTTTTGGTGGGATCTTCCTGTTTACTTCGCAGGCGATTTCAGAAAGCCTGTGTGGACCTGTCCTGAGCAGCAGAGGTTGAAGAAGCTCTGGAGTTCAGAGGGGTGGGCTATAGGGGACAGAAGTACCTCTTTCCCATGCTTTCTGCCGGGTACCTACCATTTGCCCCTGTAAGTCCTTTTGGGACACCTGCCCACAGCCTCCAACTCCAGTAGCTGAATGCTGCTCTTTGCAAAGATGGAGTATGAAAGTAAAAACTCTTGTCAGCTTTGGCAGCCTCCCTTAGCTTTCGTATCCCTGTTTATGAAATAATTTAACATAGCGGAGAATGGAACAAAGTATTGAGAACATAAAAAATGCAGAGCCCTCAGAAGAACATAAATAAACTGTACTTTACTCTCAACAGTTTTTGATTTCCTTTTGCACTTCATTTCTGTAAAAATGTCACCTTTCTTTCTGTAAATAAGGTCCTATCTGAAATGACATGGCCTTTTCAATTGAATTCTTTCTAGTACCTTAATTTATGCCATGAGAAGAATTTAATTATAAATAGTGATTTTAGACATACTAAGCCAAGGCCAGCATTTCTGATCTAAGGCAAACTCCTTTTTCCTGTTTTGCTTTGTTTTGGGGTTTTTCCTTGAGTTTCTTACTCTGGTATAATATTTGCACTCTCTCTCTCTCTCTCTCTCTCTCTCTCTGTGTGTGTGTTTAGAAATACAGTTTTCGTTTCCTCTATTCTTTTGGTGGCTTACATAAAAGTTTTAAACCACCTGTTTGCAGAGTAGCTGTTTTTGCCTCATTTTGCCTCTGTCATTGATGAGAGAAACTTTGTCCTCTTTTAGAAGGAAGATAGCAGCATTTACTCCTAATTCCATACCTTGATTTGAAAAATCCATTTTGATAACAAAAGCCAAAGTATATTATGTTAACATCTTTAGTTAGTTTTCTTGTGATTTCCCTTGTGGGTTGTTTTTTTTTTAAGAATCAGTATGATTTATTTACTGAAATGTACATGTTTGTACAGGAGAAAAGATACCATATTTGATTTAGGTTATAGTCCTTTTTGATCCTTGTGACTTTTATTTAATTCTTTTTTTTTTTAAAAAAAGCAAGTCAAATAGCAAATTTACAACAGCTTTCAGGCAGTACTGATTTCACAGTGTTATGTGTTTGATTTCTTTCTCAATATCTCTTCAAATTGCCTTTGAATTTAATTCTTACCCACATTCTTCATAATAAAATATGCTACTGAAATAGTAAATGTCCATTTTAATTTCATATGTTGTTTTATGCAAGAATATTTAAGAAGTCTAAGCCATCCCACTGCACTCAGCCTAGTCTAATCTTAGTCTGTGGCCAGTTGGCCTGGTGGTACTTACAATCTGGAATGATGCTATTCAAACTCTTTCAGCTTTTGTGTTAATCAGTAACATCTTTTATCATGTACAATTCCTTACTTTCCCCTCAAAGTAATACCTATGATTCATGAGCTAAAATACCATGAAAGAGCATGAAATTAATCGTTAAAATATAATGCAGTGAGGAAAAATACATTAAACCTAGGGGAATACACTGAAGCATGGATGTCTCAGTTAATCCTACTGGTTTGCCAAAGTTCATTTTTGTGTTGAATCAGAATGAATCATAAGGCTGTTTTTTAAATCAAATCTTTCCTTGAACAAATTGATTGACATCATAGAAATTTATCTGACCGTGATCATTGTTTTAGCTTTAAATTCAAGGAAAAGCAAGTAATCTTTTTAAAAATTGTTGGTATGACATAGATAGTAAATGTGATAACATTACATTGATAAAGTACTTGATAAATGAAGAAAGAACAGAAAGTGATGGTGACAGTACACTCTAATGTTGGTTTAATTTTCCCTCTGAGCTACTTAAAGAATTTCAGGTTGCATTGAAGCAGCCAAGAGGTATCCTTGTTTCTGAGGACAGAAATTATTGAAGTACACAAAGTCACTTTGTGTGCTTATTCTTAATCTTCTAAGCCTCAATCTAGTATCCCATCAGCATTGAAGGGTTAGGAAACAGGAGGGCAATCAGGTCACTAAACTATAGACCTGAATATCCCTGGCTAGAATAGGTAAGGAAAGGGTGTGTTACATGGTAATAAGACCTAGCTCATAGAACCAAAAGTTATTGTCCTTGTAGTAATCCTAGAAATTGCATGAGAAGTCAAGTCTTTCAGACACATTAATGTAGTATAGAGCTTGGCCTCTGGAGCTAACTGTGGGGAATTGAGGTCTAGAGCCGCCCCCTTTAACCATGGGACCCTGGGTAAGTTACTAGCTATCTCTAAACTGCACATGCACAATCTGCTAAGTAAGGAAAATAATAATAGGAAGGATAATAAACATGTCACAAGTTGGCAGCTTTATGTCAGCAAAAAGGGAAAATGATAAAAAGTATTTTCCAGAAAGTCACTGCCAATGAGCTTGGCCTCCAGAACTAACTGCCTGGAATTGAGGTCTAGAGCCCCCGCCTTTAGCCAATGTGACCCTGGGCAAGTTACTAGCTTCTCTAAACTGCCCTTGCACAATATGCTAAGTAAGGAAAATAATAATATGAAGGATAATAAATATGTCACAAGTTGGCAGCTTTATGTCAGCAAAAAGGGAAAATGATAAAAAAATTAAAATATATTTTCTGGGAAGTCACTGCTAATGAAAAGATTAGTACTTTAAAGTTCGTTAACAAAAATAGCATATGCTTTTCAAAGTTATTTTGCTTTGTTGAGTAACTTTGGATATTATCTAAATTTTGTCAAGGATGAATTTTGACTACAAACTTTCCTGGGCAGGTTTCAGAGAAGGTGAGTATTGGACATTGGTCACTTTCCCTGACCTCAGCAGTAACTTCACTGTACTTCTTTATTTGGATTGAATTGCTGGGCAATATAATGTCAATATCTGTACACTTAAAATCAAATAAAAATGCTTTTCAAGACTCTACTTTTATTCCATATCTTGTTCACTTCCACTGACAAAGATAATTGAGAATAGACTATAAAAGTGTGTAACATGTCTGTATCTGCAACAAGCTTTTAACTCTATTAATACTAGTAATTCTGGTATTTATAGCCAAACTTAAGTTTCTGCCTACCACACTACTGTTCCCACAATCATAAATCAAAGTTAATTTTTTGAATTCCCAAATAATTAATGTTAAAAGGTTATAAACATGGTTCAGTTTTTTCCCCGAGTCAGGGATTCTAGTCATTGTCCATAGAATCAAATATATGTTGAACCAAATAGACATGGCCTCTGAGTTACTTATCCTTTGACTTCTATTTATTTGAGAAGGTAACTTAGAATTTTCTATATTTAATAGTTAATAAAATGAGGTTTAAAAATAGTGGATTTGGAAAATGGGAACATAAGGGAATTGACTTGAAGAAAGTGAATTTTAAGGACCATTTGAAAAAAAGGAAAGGCATGGGTTATAAATTGGCAGAGATAGCAAAAAATATTTCAGAACACCCTTTATCATAATGCTTTTGACCATGAGGATGGAGAAGGGTCATGGATCCAAAGGAGAACATGAGAGTTCAGTTTTTTAGTATCCATGGGTTATTTATTTATTGATCTAAATTTATACATTTTTAAAACTGAGTATGTAAGTAACAGTCCTTTCTCCTCTCCTTCCTTTTATCAGTTGAGTACTACAGATCTTGTGGCACTGCAGTCTTACCATGTTATGGCTTTAAGGCTTTTTATTTCTTTAAAACTTGTTTTGTGAGTTTTAATTGTGGAACATGCACTTGACCTCCAGACCGTACTTGATTTTACTTTAGAATTGTTTTCCCCTTTGTGAGGAGTTTATGGGGCAGTAAAATATGTGTCTGAGTGTCTGATTTGAAGTCACTGATTCCACTGATAGCCCCTTACATTTTAAGGAATTACACATTGCCGGGTTTCTGTTCTCGCGACTAAAAGGCTCAGGAGTAACTCCAGGAAAACTGGGCTGATTGGGCTGCACGAAATAACCACACAAGAGACACAAATACCTTTTTCTTTGGGGTCACTATGATGGCTCCTCTGACCTTAAGGGTCCCCAGGAAGAGAGAGAGCACGAGCTGACCCCTTTTATTGAGGAGAAGCTATACAAATGAGGCAAGGGGTCAGGTTTCAGGGGACTGAGTCTATCTTCATGATGTCCAGTGTCAGCAGGTTGACCAACACCTGGGTAGGCCACACCCAGGGGCTCTGTAAGAGAAGGGGACACACATATAAGGCACTTCCATAGAAGATTCTATCCTAAACAGGGCAAGGGATTATATTACAAAGGAATAGGTGAGCATGGGGCGGTAGCAAGACACACCCATGCACGAGACACCAACCCTGGAACCCAAGAAAGGTGGGGAAAGCTCTGCCACATTTCTGTGAATGAGCGCCTCAGCACCCAGTTGGGGAGTGTGACTTAGTCATGTGCAAGGTTGGTCTCCCACAACACATTTCTATAGTTGAACACGTTTATGTGTATTTCAGTATGATTTTTTTAAAAAATTCTCTCTATTTCACAAGAATTCAGAGGATGAGTTTTAGTAGTTTAATTAAAAACTATGAGATTAATGACAAGAGGGAGATTTTTTTTAGATTGGCTCTGCTTAATCTCAATGATAGCAGATAGTGTTGACTGATTGCCTAATTGTAAAATGTACTGGAATTCAATAACCACCTTTCTTAATATTTGACAGATAAATCCACATTTTGAAAGCTGAATATTAATGATAAGGAATTAATAAAAATGCTAAGAAAATCTAGAATCACAATG